CAAGTAAATAAGATCTTTAAAAAAATGTATATATATAATATATACATATATGAGAATAAGCCTTGGAGAAGGTGCTGCCTCCACCTTTATTTATTTATTTATTTTTAAGATTTTATTTATTTATTTGACAGAGAGAGACACAATGAGAGAGGGAACACAAGCAGGGGGAGTGGGAGAGGGAGAAGCAAGCTTCCTGCTGAGCAGGGAGCCCGCTGCAGGGCTCCATCCCAGGACCCTGGGATCATGACCTGAGCCGAAGGCAGATGCTTAGTGACTGAGCCACCCAGGCACCCCCTGCCTCCACCTTTAATGTAAGAATTGTTTCATAGTATTCCAGTCAGGCTGTTTTGGAGGTTGGGCAGCTATAAATCCTTACTTCACAGCCTCTTGATGTTCCCAGCTGAATCTTGCCGTAGCCTCCTAACTGGCCTTGCTGCCAGTCCCTCCTTGTTCTGATCTCTCCTTCACATTGCTAACAGTGTTATTTCTGAAAATACAAATATGACTATGAGACTCCTCTGCTCCTCAGTGATCATAGTATTAAGTCCAAACTCCTAAGCATTACATAAGGTATGTTTTGTAACATGATTCAACCTTTTCTACACTTTCTCAATTAAGCTGGAATATGGGCTGAATAATGCCATCTCTTTTATACTTTACTACCTTTGCATGTGCTTCTTCCCTAATCTGGATTGACCTTTTCTTCACCTGGCAAATGTCTAACCATTCAGTAAGATCCAGCTTAAATTTTAGCTCCTATGTAAAGTTTTCCCAAATGCCTCAATGCCTAGATACTCTCTCTCTGCATATCTGCACCTGTGATACATATTTCTATTTTCAAATCCATAATACCATACTATATTTGTTTACAATTTTTTTTTTTTTAAGATTTTATTTATTTCACAGAGAGAGACACAGTGAGAGAGGGAACACAAGCAGGGGGAGTGGGAGAGGGAGAAGCAGGCTTCCTGCAGAGCAGGGAGCCCAATGCGGGGCTCGAACCCAGGACCCTAGGATCATGACCTGAGCCGAAGGCAGACGCTTAACGACTGAGCCACCCAGGCGCCCCTTTATAAATTATTTGTATTACAGTGGGAGCTGCTAGAGAACAGGGACCATATCATTATTTCACTATCCCTAGCAACTGATAATAGTGAAGTTTTTTGCAGTTGAACTTACAAATATCTGCTTGTGGTCAGCCCTCCTTTCACCTGATGTTCCACAACATTTGCTCCTAGAGCTATAATACAATATACAGTCACTCAGTAAATATTTGATGGTGATGATAACGGAAAAGAAGAAAAATTACATTTCATGTACTATGTTTAAGAAGAAAGGTCCTTTTATTTAAGAAAAACTGTCAGGAAGGGGCCCCTGGGTGGTTCAGTCAGTTAAGCGTCAGACTCCTGATTTCAGCTCAGGTCATGAAAATGGGGTCATGAGATCTAGCCCCCAGTCGGGGCTCAGTAGGAAGTCTGCTTGAGATTCTCTCCCTCTCCCTCTGCCACTCCCCCTGCTCTCTCTCAAATAAATAAATAAATATTTAAGATTTTTAAAATTTATTTGATAGAGAGCACAAGCAGGGGGAGCGGCAGAGGGAGAGGGAGAAGCAGACTCCCCACTGAACAGAGAGCCCAACACAGGGCTCGATCCCAGGACCCCTGAGCCAAAGGCAGACGTTTAACCGACTGAGCCACCCAGGAGACCCTAAATAAATCTTAAAAAAAAGAAAAGAAAAAAAAACTGTCAGGAATATGGTATTTCAATACCATAGCACATAATTAACTAGAAAAACAGAGGGCACTCAAGGTATTTCAAGCAAAGAGTGATATAATGCAAGGAATTAAGTAATAAATTATTGGAAGAACTAGAAGAGCAAAAAGGAAAGTCAGACCATATTGCCCAGTGATGAGGAATTATGAGAACTCCCTCAGAGCCTCCACTCATCTACTGACTTTCACTCATGCAGGAGCCCTGTTACTGCATAAGAAATCACTTAAAACTCAGCAGCTTAAAACGACAATCATATTATTAATCACAGTTCTGTGAATTGGCTGGACTCAGCTGAGTGGTTGTGCTTCACATGCTGTTTGAGGCTGCAGTCATCTGAGGGCTCAACTGGAATGAAATGTCCAAGATAACTCACTCACATGGCTGGTAGTTGGCACTGTCAGGTGGGATCTCATCTGGAGGGGTCATTTGCAATTCCTTGATTCTCCATGTGACTTGAACTTCTTAGAGCATGGTAGGATTCTAAGAAGGAGTGTCTCAAGGGTGTTCCCAAGGGAAGAAAATAGAAACTGCCAGTCCTCTCAAGCTCTGGGCTCAGAAGTCCCAAAACATTACTTCCACCACATTCTATTGCTCAGAGCAATTTCAGGGCCAATCTAGATTCAAAGGGAGAAGATACAGGTATCTCTCACTTTTTCAAAAGTTCAAGTTACGCCACTCACTTAAGAAAGACCTACATTGGGGCACCTGGGTGGCTTAGTCAGTTAAGCGTCTGCCTTCGGCTCAGGTCATGATCCCAGGGTCCTGGGATTGAGCCCCGCATCGGGCTCCCTGCTCAGGGGCGAGTCTGCTTCTCCCTCTCCCTCTGTGATCTCTCTCATTCTCACTCTCTCTCAAATAAAATTTCTTTTTAAAAAGACCTACATTAGTACCTATTTTCACTAACCAAAAGAAATCTGAAGGGGCTTTTTGCTTTTACAAAAAAAAAGATGAAAAGGGAAAATAACATTCAGGGTTTGTTTGGCAGAGAGCCCATATAGAGGCAGGGTGCACACTGAGCAGCAGAGTAGCATCGCTAACTCCTTCCCGGGGAGTTAGCCTCTCAGCATCAAGTTGCCATGGCTTTGAACTGAGTCTGTGAGCATCTCTGCTTTATCGTGATTTATTTTGTTCATCTGTTAGCAAGATGTGTCCCAAGGTGTGAGAAAAGCCTAAGAAAGGTTATTTTTTCAGTCTGGGAATGCTCAAAATTTTTTTTCATCTAAATTAATAGTAATTTCTTCTTTGCCTCATGCCATTTCAGTTTACCAAAGTTTTCATGGAACCGCTCTACTTTCGGATAGCAGGGGAGACCATAAGCATACAGGAAGAGGATGAATTGTTGGGAGCTATCTTTAGAGACTCTCTGCCATGCTTGTCTTTGCACATGCTTCTTCTTTGCTCTGAAAAGAGCTTACATTTCAGCCCACATCTAGAGCCTTCCCTGATACCTTCAATGCACGGTCAGTAGCCGCTTCCTCCGCATAGTCTGTGCCTGTGGTATATATTTCTATTTTTGTATCTATCATTCCTTATTATAATTTGTTTGCTTACATATTTTTCTGTGAGAGTGTCTAGGGGACAGTAATCATGTCATCATCATCTCCATATCTCTAGTAACTCTCACAGTAAAGGTTTTTGCACCAAGAACAGATGGTGTAGGACACCAGACTAAATTAGTACTGACCACAAGCAGATAATAACACATAATTGAAATAGCTTCATTGTTTAGTCCACTGTGTGGTTGAATGGTGACCCCAAAAAGATATGTCTATGTCCTAACCCCCAGAACCTATGAATGTGACCGTATTTGGAGAAAAGGGCTTTGCAGATGTAATTAAATTAAGGATTTTGAGATAAAATCATCCTGGATTATCTGGGTGGGTCCTTAATCCAATGACAAGTATCCTCATGAAAGACATACAGAGGTGGGGTGCCTGGATGGCTCAGTCGGTTAAGTGTCTGACTCTTGGTTTCAGCTCAGGTTATGATCTCAGGTTTGTGGGATCAAGCCCTGCATCAGGCTCCGTGCTCGGGCGGGGGGGGGGGGGGTCTGCTTCTCTCCCTCTCCCCCTGCCTCTCCCCCTGCTCACATGCTTGCTCTCTCTCTAAAGTAAATAAATCTTTTTTTTATTTTTATTTTTTAAAGATTGTATTTATTTATTTCACAGAGAGAGACAGCGAGAGAGGGAACACAAGCAGGGGGAGTGGGAGAGGGAGAAGCAGACCTCCCGCCGAGCAGGGAGCCCGATGCGGGGCTCGATTCCAGGACCCTGGGATCATGACCTGAGCCGAAGGCAGACGCTTAACGACTGAGCCACCCAGGCGCCCCAATAAATCTTTTTTAAAAGAGATTTTTATTTATTTGAAAGAAAGTGAGCACGAGAGAGCAGGCATGCATGTGCACGATGGGGGGAGGGGCACAGGAAAAGGGAAAGAACAAGCAGACTCTTAACTGAAAACGGAGCCCGAGATTCGAGGCTCTGTCATAGGACCCCAAAATCATGACCTGAGCCAAAATCAGACGGTTGACTGACTGAGCCACCCAAGGGCCCCAGTAAATAAATAAATCTTTAAGAAAAACCACACACACACAGAGGAGAAAACAGAAGCACTGGAGAAGGCAATGTGAACCCAGAGTCAGAAATTGGAATTATGCAGTGACAAATCCAAGGAATGCCTGGAGCCACCAGAAGCTGGAAGAGGTAAGGAAGGATTCTCCTCTAGAGCCTCTGGAGGGAGAATGACTCTGCTCACACATTGATTTTGGGCTTTTGACCTCCAGAACTGTGAGAAAATTAATTTCTGTTGTTTTAAGCCATCCAGTTTGTGGTAATTTGTTATGGCAGCCTCAGGAAATAATACAGACTGTGGGTCAATTCTCTGTTGGTTTGCAGCCAAAGATTAATTAATATAATGATTATTTTTAAGTTCAAGCTAAGCATATGGAAAAAAGGTATTGGTAGTAATTCAGGAAAAGATCCTGGAGTCCCTGAAAATTTTTTCCATAGGATTTCAAACTAAGATTGATATCAGTGTTGTCAGATCTGGGATTTAAGCATATCTCTGACTCCACTTCACTTTCCCCTCCACTCTCCCTCAGGGACTAATGGGTGGTAGCAGAGATGAAAGTTATACCCTCCTTAAGACCATTTTTTTTTTTTTTAGAAACTTTATTTTCCATCAACCTTCTTTCCATTTTGTTTGCCTTTGTGGAAGAGGAAGACCGCTCATGGTTGTTCCCACCCATTCTGTGGCCTGAGCAGTGGGAGCTGCAGACCAGTCTTCCGTGGCCCCGGCCGGGCGCTCCAGTCCTCAATGGGGAACTGCTGAATAGGCACAGAGTGCACCTGCACGCCATCAGCCCAGTCTGTGACTTCAGGTTGAATAGCAGTGAACTCAGGAACTGGAACAGTCCTTTCACCCTGAAAGTCCTCCTCGGTCACAGAGTTCTCAGCAGCGACCTGCCCCTCCTTTTCGATCTCTTCAGGATCTCTGTAGAAGTAGAGATCAGGCATGATCCCCCATGGGTGCCCACGGGAAATGGTGCCACGCATGCACGGAACTTCCCAGGCCCACTGAGTGAGCTCCCTTGTTGTTGCAAGGGATGGCGATGTCCACGTAGCGCAGAGGAGAGTTTGTGTTACCCAGAGCGATGATAGGCAGGTTAACATAAGACGCCTCTGTAAGAGGCTGGTGGTCAACCCTGGGCTCAGTCTCGGCTCCCGGAAGGCTGCCTGGGTCTGGGTAGTGAAGGTTCCAGGAGTGAAGTGGCCAGCAGTAGGAGTGGCTCCGCTAGCAGCAGCAAACGTCAGCACCGCTCCTGGCCAGTATTCCTGGATGAGGATACTGACATCAGCCAGGTTTTTAGCGGCAACCATGGCATGAGCTGCCAGCAGAAGCTTCTCCCGGGTTCTCTTCAGATTTATGATGCAGATACCATCACTTTCCCTTTTGTAGATGTACTGTTCCATTTGGAAGTCAAGGTTGGTGCCCCCTAAGTGGGTTCCTGCTGCAGGGAATGTGAGGACATCCTCCTCCTTCGTTTGCAGGACATCAAGGGCTCTGGACATTGTGAAAGTTGCCCTTTGAGTTATGATGGGAATGCAGAACAATGCCATATGGACCCCTCCCTGGGTAGCTCCTTAAAACCATTTGTGATGAAGTTAGAGTCATCCGTGGTCCAGCTCAATATGGGATTTTTTTTGTTCCTGTTTTTAAATATAACCAAAAGAGACTGCGATTTGAAGTAGCTTCAAAAACATGTAATTTGGAACAGAAAAATAACAAATAAACATTTAAAATCGAAACATTTAAAAAACGAAAAGAATAGAAAGAAAATCAAGACCAGGAAACATTTGGAATAAAGATATGCAAACTATCAGGTCCTACATAATTAGAGTTAAGCTGCAAAATTGAAATTATTAGGGGTCAAAGCAAAAAGAGTTAACAACGTGATTCATGTTTCCTTAAGAAAAAAGATATTCGTTTCAAGAAAAGGAAAGCTTTGCTTTTCCTGGCGCTTATTCTTTAAGAAATAACCATGTAGGGCGCCTGGGTGGCTCAGATGGTTAAGCATCTGCCTTCGGCTCAGGTCATGATCTCAGGGTCCTGGGATCGAGTCCCGCATCGGGCTCCCTGCTCCTTGGGAGCCTGTTTCTCCCTCTGCCTTTCTCTCTCGCTCTGTCTCTCATGAATAAAAAAAAAAAAAAAAAAGAAAGAAAGAAATAACCATGTAGGTTTCAATTTAGATATCACTTCCTCTAAGAAGAGTTTCCTAATGACATCCTCCCTCCAAATTAGGTACCACTACTATGCTTACCATTGTATCACTAGTAAGATCCTTACAAGACTGTAAGTTCTGGGGCGCCTGGGTGGCTCAGTCGTTAAGCATCTGCCTTCGGCTCAGGTCATGATCCCAGGGTCCTGGGATCGAGCCCCACGTCGGGCTCCCTGCTCCGCGGGGAGCCTGCTTCTCCCTCTCCCACTCCCCCTGCTTGTGTTCCTTCTCTCGCTGTGTCCTCTCTGTCAAATAAATAATAAAATCTTAAAAAAAAAAAAAAAGACTAAGTTCTTTGAGCACAGAGACTGATTAGCTTACTCTTGTATCCTTGGTACCTATTCCATTGTCTGGCACATTGCAATATTCAGTATTTGTTGAGTAAGTGGGTTAATGAGACTTCATGAGGGGTGGGTCTAGTTCCCATTTTTTAATTTTTTTTTAAAGATTTTATTTATTTACTTGAGAGAGAGCATGAGAGAGGGGAGGGTCAGAGGGAAAATCAGACTCCCTGCTGAGCAGGAAGCCGGATGCGGGACTCGATCTTGGGACTCCAGGATCATGACCTGAGCCGAAGACAGTCGCTTAACCAACTGAGCCACCCAGGCGCCCCATCTAGTTCCCATTTTAATGGTGCATTAAGTTATGATTCAAGCTGTATGTATGGAGCCCCTCTGGCCCTCCCCTGCTCGTGCTCTCTCTCTCAAATAAATAAATGAAATCTTTTTTTTTTTAAAGATTTTATTTATTTATTTTGACAGAGGGAGACACAGCGAGAGAGGGAACACAAGCAGGGGGAGTGGGAGAGGGAGAAGCAGGCTTCCCGCGGGGCAGGGAGCCCGATGAGGGGCTCGATCCCAGGACCCTGGGATCATGACCTGAGCCGAAGGCAGACGCTTAACGACTGAGCCACCCAGGCGCCCCTAAATAAATGAAATCTTAAAAACAAAAACAAAAAAAGACTTACAGTATTTTAAGGCAAATTCAGACATCATTTCACCCTCACATATTTCAGTATACATTTTTTAAGAAAGGATTTTCCCTAGAAAATAGCTTGGAGTATGTTCTAAGACATGAAGCAGTTAACAGCTTAAAGCCTGTTTAAAATTATTTTACACTACAAAACATCCCCTGTGAACTTAGCATCTGTCCTCTGAAGTCATAGAACAGTGTTAGTAATGCCACATGGAACATGGTTTTTTAAGCAGCACAGCTTCCCGTTAAACCCTCTGAGATGAACCAGCTGAACCCACTTATCAATCTTAGTATCACTTAAAGCGGGACAGCCAGGCAGTATGTGTCTCCCAAAGGGATTGATATGAGGCTGACAACACTGCCTGTGAAGTATTCTTGCTCCCCCCAAAAATTGAATCTTCAAGTTTCTTTTTTTTTTTTAAGATGTATGTATTTATTTATTTGAGAGAAAGAGAGTGCGAGGGGAGGGGCAGAGGGAGAGAGAGGATATCAAGCAGACTCCGCACTCAGTGTGGAACCTGAGATTATGACCTGAGCCGAAACCAAGAGTCAGACACTCAGGCGCCCCTAAATCTGCAAGTTTCTAAAAGCTAACTTTCATTATAGGAAATAGAGGAGGTAAAGGAACAAGAAGCAAATAGACAAATCCAGAATGTGGTAACTTCAATAGGACAACTGATCTGGTTTCTGCAATCAAGTCAATGTTATCAAAAAGAGGTGAGGAAGAAGAGACTGCTCTAGATTAAAGAGGCATAAGAAACAACCAAATGCAATTAGTTTAAAGATCTGATTTTAACAAACCAATTATAAAAAGATAATTTTGATATAATCAGGAAAATCTCAATAAGATCTGGGTATTAGATGATACCAAAGAATTATTGTAAGTCTGGTTGGGTGAGTTTCTCAGTTTGGGTTCTCCCAGACCCAGAGATAAAGATTCAAATACAAGTAGTATATTTGAGAAAGGATCGCAGGGAACACTGGAAGAGGAAGAGGAAGTGAGATGAGGAAGGAATAGAAGCTAATAAAAGCTGCACTATTAAGCAACTTAACCACTGTGGGCCCGTGGAACTTAATCTCACTGGTGTGCTTGGGGAAATAGTGTGGACTATTCCTCGGAGCTAATCCCCACCCCCAGACCAAGGGACCTGGGTTCCTTATATACCAGCTCCCGTCAGGCATTGGTTCAGCTGTGCCCATGGGAGAGGGAGGCAGAGTGGCTCTCCAGTGGCCAGAGAAAGCCCTCAGGCCAAAAACATACCCTGAAATGGTAAGGGCCGAAGTGATGTGGGGAAACGCACCAACACTATTTGCTACAATGTGATAATAGCGTGGTGGTAGCATAAAAACATGTCCTTTCTTAAAAAATGTATACTGAAATATGTGAGGGTGAAATGATGTCTGAATTTGCCTTAAAATACTATAAGCCTGATGCGGGACTCCATCTTGGGACTCCAGGATCATGACCTGAGGGCCTTTTGTTTTTGTTTTTAAGATTTCATTTATTTATTTGAGAGAGAGAGCATGAGCAGGGGAGGGCCAGAGGGGCTCCATACCAGGTCCCCGAGAGGTCATGGCCTGAGCTGAAGTCAGACACTTTCCTGACTGAGCTACCCAGGTGCCCCCTTAAAATACTTTAATAAGAAGAAAATAAAATGGACAGATGAGGAGCGCCTGGCTGGCTCAGTCAGTGGAGCATGCGACTCTTGATCTAGGGATTGTGAGTTGGAGCTCCACGCTGGATGTAGAGATTGCTTAAAAATAAAATCTTTAAAAAATAAATTACTTAAAACACATAAAAGAGACAGATAAAACAAATATGGTAAAACGTGATAATTATTTAAATCAGTCATGGATACGTGGAAGTTAATTATGCTAACCTCTCTACTTCTGTGTTTATGAGAATTTTTTGCAATAAAAGTACTTTTAATGTACATTTACGTAATGAAGATATGTCAGTTGGGCTGCCTGCCGTAATTGGATATAAATCATTTCATTTAGAGAACATCTGTCAAAAATAATGTTTTTAGTTTTAAAGATTTTATTTATTTATTTGAGAGGGAGGGAGGGAGCATGAGCGGGAGGAGGAGCAGAGGGAGAGGGAGAAGCAGACTCCCCTCTGAGCAGGGAGCCTGACGTGGGGCTCTGTCCGGTCCGGGACTGTAGGATCATGACCTGAGCTGAAGGCAGCTGCTTAATCGACTGAGCCACCCAGGCGCCCCATCTAGTTCCCATTTTAATGGTGCATTGATCGACCCAGGCGACCCAATAATGTTTTTAGTTTTAAAATAGTTTACTTTAAGCTATTCTTTCTAGTCATAGGTTTGGCCTAAAATGTTTTTACAGTAGTACAAGCTGGCTGGGATCTGGGAGCTACCTTTTAATTGCTCTTTTGGGATGGAGCCAATCAATCAGTGAACCAGACCAAACACATTGTACAGTTGGTCCAGCAGCCCAGGGCTGCTGTGGTCTTACTAGGCTGGTGTGTCAGGAGTGCCCACCCCCCCTCTGTAATTGGGTTTTCCAGCATCTGTGAGGCACTCTTTTTCTCAGCTGCAGACACAAAACTGCCTGCTTACACACAAAAGGAAACCCAATACCAGCCCAACAGCTGTAGTCTTTGGTTCTCCTTGCCTTCATTGACACTCTTGGATTTAGACTCTTCTTGCCTTCCTGGACTTGTGACACTCATGTGCACAGATCTGATGAGAGAATATTCAAACACTTTTCCCTGTGTCAAGAAGTCACTGAGCCTCAAAGTTTGCTTGCCTACATCAGCACTATCCACTGTGCCCAATGACTTCATTAGACTTTTAGGGTTGGCCTTTTTACATGCTCCCCAATACCACTTGGCACTGTTTTTAATTATTTCTTCGTATCTGTTATGTTAATCCCTTGAGAAAGGATTATAGTAGGTGGCATTTTCTGTAGGTGACTAAACCCTGACATGACTACCCTAGGCAAAAAGAAGAATTGATTGACTCATGAAACTAAATGACGATGACAGAGGAATTGTTAGCAATATGAACAGAGGGAACTAGGATTTTTTTATTTGTTATTCTTGGAATCAAGATTTGGGGATTAACAGCCTAGCTTGCCTTTTACCATCAAACCAGAATCACTTCCCCTAGTACCTTTACAGTACCCTCACTGGCAGCCCTGATCAGGTGCAGCTCAGCTCCATAGGCTGCTCTTGGAGACTAGATTTTCTTTCTTTCTTTTTTTAAGATTTTATTTTATTATTTGTTTATTTTTATTATTTATTATTTCTTTTAGAGAGAAAGGAGAAAAGAAAGAGAGTGCGAGCGGGGGGGGGGG